GCTGAACTCAACGTACTTAATAACCCCGATGCATAAAGGTTCGTAGAGTTATTCATAATACTGTCTTTGGACAAACCTCGACACTTCAAGCACTAATTCCCTCTCAACTTTGCATGACCTACTTAGAAAGTGGTACAAGATCTGTTCATAAATGGAAATCAAGCTTAATGCAGCCCTTCAAAAATACCATTAAAGCCTAAAAATACTTCAAAGGTAAAGAGCCTCAACAAGCAAAAAGTGATTACATTTTTTTGCGATGCCCTTATTTATTAAATTTGAAAATTCTTAACATTATCAATATCCATCTTCTTTGAAGAAGTCCTTTACAACAGCATCGTAATCGTATAAGTTGAAGAATGTGATCATAACTAGAGAGTTGACGAGTTCCACCAGTTGTTGCTGAAAAATGTAAAATGGAACAAGAAACGAAGGCTATACGACAATTTCTCAAAGCTGCAAGCGAAATACAACGAGCAAGACCGGCAAGCGCATAAGTATGTATGAATGAAAGGAACTTACGAATACGCAAGACATGAACAAAATCAAGTTTCCCATCCATTCTTCTGGATGACTCGATCGTTCTAAGGCGAGATCATTGAGACATCTGATGAGGAGATTGCGCTGTCGGCTGCATACTCGCCGCCCACTTTCGCTGAGTTTATAGTGACCTATACCATTCAGTAATAATTTTGTCCGAAACTGATTAGTATCCTGATGTAGATAAGTCTACGTAGATAAGTAATAAGGAGTGATTGCCGTCTCTTTCTGAACGGATGCAAGAAAGACTAACTCTTCATGGCTAATGAGAAGTCAAGACTGACGATTTCCAGAATTTAAAACTCTTACTGATGTGCCAACAAACAAGTGCCTTCAGTAGACAAAACTCATCAAACTGAAGATTGAGATCATGAAATGGAACTACCAAACTTTGCCACAGTGCCGCTTTTCGTGGTATTATTGATCTGAAACACAATGTTTTTGGTCGGAGTGCAGCATATGTTTCTAGCGCAAATAGTTCGATTAAGGCTCACTTATATCTATCCAAGTCTTCGCTATTAGTGAACAAATGCTGTGCCCATGGCTCATCGCCAGTCATTGGCATGGGGTCAACGCAGAGGTATTCACACGAGTTCAAAACCATCAGCTTCTCTTCATAGGCAAGGCAGCAAGTGAAATATGCTGAGTTGAGCAGGTTATCCACACCACAGACGTACCGATAGACCGCTTGCTAACGAGAATATATATTTAAAATAAATACAACGACATATTTCAAAAATGCAGAGCTCACCTTCTCAAATGGTTGCAGCTCGTCGAACTCCATAAAAGCGATGGTATAATCGTATAGCATAATAAAATCTGACCGCGAATTTCCAACATATTCCTTGTAGTTCAAAGGTTT